ACAAGTTTGATCGGGTTCGCCATCCGAAGGTGCGGTATGCTGGCATGGTGCGCTACGACGGCGATCTCGGCATCCCCAACAACTTCCTCGTACCCCCGCCGACGCTCTCGCGCGTGAGCGAGGAGTACCTCTGCGGGAGCGGGGTCCGGATTTTCGCGTGCTCGGAAACGCAAAAGTTTGGCCACGTGACGTACTTTTGGAATGGCAATCGGAGCGGAAAGCTGGATGAGAACCAGGAGACCTTCCAGGAGATCGAGAGTGACCGCGTGCAGTTCAACCTGAAGCCGCGGATGAAGGCGACAGAGATCACGGAAGCCGCGACGAAGGCACTTCTGAGCGGGAACTACGACGTGGTCCGGATCAACTTCCCGAACGGCGATATGGTCGGGCATACCGGCGACCTCGCCGCGACCATCACCGCCGTGGAGGCCGTCGACGAGGGCCTCGCGAAGCTCGCAAAGGCGGTGGACGCGGTGAACGGCATCTTTTTGATCACCGCCGACCACGGCAACTCCGACGATATGGCCCAGCGCGATAAAAAGGGAAAGCCGCTCAAGGGCCCCGATGGTGCCGTCCTTCCGCTCACCTCGCATACGCTCTCTCCGGTGCCGTTGTTTCTTGGCGGCGCCGGCCTCGACCCTCGCGTGGAGTTCCGCGTCGACCTCCCGATGGCCGGCCTCGCAAACGTCACGGCGACCTTCCTCAACCTGCTCGGGTTTGAAGCCCCGGAAGACTACGAGCCCTCGCTCGTCCACGTTGTTGAATAAACTCAGTACGTGAAGAGGCGAAGGAGGATAGAAATTGGTGCATAAAAAACACCGTAGGAAAAGTCCCTCTGGGGCTTTGGATGTTTAGCTTATAATATATATATTTGCATATATTGGTATATATATATATGTAAGTATGTATATATATGTATATATATATATATATCTATATCTATATATATTATTGATCAAGTGTTTTACTTCAACTTATAAAGGTATAAAAGTACAACATTGGATTCCTGAAGTTTTTTGCGAATGATATAATATAAGAATAGCAAAATGTGAAGGAACCACATATTTGATCTTTCCCTATCATTTGATTGTCCTTTTGGTCATTCAAAAAGAAAAAAACTTGCTACTGAAATATAAAAATATACACATGTAAGCTTTTTGCAGGAGGGTAATAAAAAAAAAGAATTCGAAAAGTAACAAGTGGCCTATAACTCAGTTACTAAGTTATCAGACAGGTGGGTTAACCTAGAAATTACTGTTAATGCCCATTTCATAAAAGCATAATAATTCAAGAAATTTTTTAAAAAATAAAATAGGAGAAAAAAAGAACAACAAATTAACGCTATATGGATTACTCTCTCATTTATTCATGAAGTTTTATTATGGGAGTATTTGCATGTCTGGAGAATTCTTGTTCTTTTGAGTTCCTCCAGTCATTTCTCAATTGAGATAGCATGAATTTATTAGATTCATTTATATGAACTTAAACAACTAGAAGGAAATCGGTATTCTATAAAATAAAAATATAATATAGATATATATACATGATATGCCGCCATGAAGCTCGCTAACATTGTTTCAGACTTGAATCTATTGAAACACCAGCCAAGGGCAAAAAGTTCCAGAATATAGTAATCGGACGCTTCTCTACGTCCTTCTTTGATTTTGACGGCATCACTTACTTTATAAGTAAACCTTCACACTATAAAGAAAATATTTCGACCGGCTCTACTATGAATGAGATCAGTGTAAATGAAAGGGTAGAGAACAGTAAAGAGCAGAAATAACCTAAATTTAACTTCCTACCACTGAAATTTCCGAGAAATGTATTATTTTTTATCCCAAAAAAAAGTGCTTATAATCTCTCCATTCCCTCCTCCCCTCCCTTCATAATAAACTTTCATTGTTATTTTCCCTCCTTTTTTCTTCGTGTGCATGTTTGTGTGCGTGCATGTATGTTATCCTCAATTTCCCTTTCCCATCTTATCCTGTGCTGTACTTTCTGAGGACTCGGATGAGGTTCTAACAAAATACTGCTTCCGATGTTATTGATAAAGAACACATTTTCAACTATTGCTAAATAAATTACTCCCCCTCGAGTCACTATTTCTTCAATAGCGCAAAAACACTAACAGCGATAACATCATTAAAAGTAAAAGTATGGAGTTATGGAGGGACAATTTGAGCAGAATTTGAAGCTAATCCAGCAGGCAGATCCAATCTACGCGACCGGCTATTCACTCGTCTACGATCGAGAGGTACCTTGTGAATTTAGAAATCACAACGCGAACCCGCTATTCCGTGGAGTCTTAGAGTGTGTTAAGATTAGAGTATTGATAAAAGGTGATGAATGCAATTTAACCTCCCTGTTGGTTGAGCTCACAACCGACGTGGATGTTTTCATGCACTACACATGCATTGTCAACGACAATGGATTTCTAAGGCTTCGTGAGGATCAAAATCTTCTCTGCGAGTATTCTCAGTTCCTCAAAACGTTACTGGTATTGTTTAATCGATGCATCGCGGAGCAAGGTCGACTCTTGTGCGCAATAATCTTCATCACGAAGGATACCGCCTCGCTAGAATTCATAGAAAATTTGGAGTACAAGATGGTTCGCGTTTTAGTTCTCCCGTTAAAGATCTCCTCTCCTGAAGTTGTACGCGAACAGGTGCAGTATCGCTATACCGCCACCCTTGCGCGCTTGAATTTAGTATTGGAGCAAGTAAATCAAAAGTGACCCATGCTAAATTGGTAATGAGGCTTGACGGAAGGAATCCTAACGTTGTTCCACTTACGGGGAGTCATCCCTTTAAGCGAAGAATAAGTTATTTTTATTTGTTCCTATTCGTGACCATATTTATTTTTATTAATACTTTTTAACTAAAAAAGTTTGCGCATATTATAATTACATCCCTGCAGATTGTCATTGTGGTGTGACTACTTTCGGGTACTGACGAATCTTTTTCTTTTTTGCTCACTGTTAAATAAGGGAGCTTCTGGATATCAAAACGTTGCTGCTAACATTTTTGACTGTTGAATGCGTTTCATGAATCGCGTACGTTTTTTTCCTTTTTTTAAAACTCCATTAGAGTAACTCTTGAATTTTAGATACAAATTACTAACGTTATGGCTTTGTATTGATTTTGAATTTTTTACTGAGCCCCTCTGAAAGGGAAAACTTCTACGACAATGTCAAATATATTGCATGCTTCAAAATCACTTTCAGATCCTACCCTGTGTAAGTTCTAGTATGGGATCATGATGTCGTATGTATACGAATTAGGTTCTGAATTTATTAATAATGACATGTGTTATGTCGTAAAGCTTCCCTATCACTGCTACGTTTTCCATCAGGAACCATCACCAATGTATGGATACTTATCTTTATTACCCCGTTTGTGTCGGTAACATATTTTCTAGTAGTGATTTGTGGAATTAGATGCATATGTCGTTCTGCATTTATGGCTATGAAAACGTCATCCAAGTTATTAACGCTATTGCGTCCTCTCACTCCGTCTGAGCTTCTCAATACAATTCGAGGGAATCCCGGAATGACGGCGGAGTACTATGCGAACCGCTACTTTGGTAAGGATAAAGTAATGGAAATTAACCACTTTCTGTGGGGAAATCTCAAGCGGTATGGAAAGATCTATCATGAACGCAATGAGTCCGATGCACCGCCGAAGTGGTTTCCTGTCTTCGGAATGGCGCGAATTCATCGCGTATACCAACATAATTCTGAAAATGAAGATCTCTCCGTGCTGAGGAGTTTAAAAGATATTCATTTAGAAGAATCCGCGCAATCTGACTCCTACACTTGCGACGATGAATCATTTGAGGATATCACAAACGAAGATGGGGTGAATGAGACTAACCTTAAAGTGGAGATGACCATTATGCAGGAGGTGCAAAAGAAGCCTGGGGAGGATATTCAGTTTTATATTCAACGCTTACCGGTGGACATGCAGCGGAGAGCTCCGCTCGCGTTCAAGCGGCTACGTGAGTCTGGCATGATCAAGCGTGAATTCACTACTGCAGGTGGATTTGTATGGCATTGAACACGTTATAACCCCTTGGTAGGGAAGAAGGTTCTTGCTTAAATGTGAACTTACCGTGCATTTCCCCGATATCACCATTAGCATCAGAGTCAGGTGATTTGAAATTTTTAACCCCATTAAAAAAAAAACAATGTTTCTGATGATATCACTCTCGTTTATCGTATTCCAAGCTGATTTCATTATTAATCTTTCATACCAACTTAAAAACTTAGGCTGTTGGTGAATAGTTATAGAATTTAAAAATGTTATATCGTATCCATCTTATGAAATGTTCACTGGGAAATATGACATTTGTGGAATAGCAAACTATGGTGTTGTTCTTTTTATACCCTATGTGGTTCTTCAAAGGGGTGTACTTCTCACTGAAATGGTTGATCCCATCCAACGTCTCGTGACTTTTTTTTTGTATAGGTATTCCCACCATGTCTAATTTGCTGTGTTACAACGTCGATCCTCTTTTTCCCTCACGCATTGTTTCCGTTTTAA